TTTTGTGAAGGTGATCTAAATTTAGTAGAAACTGTATCTTGCTACTAAATGAAGTAGGATGTAGAAATAATATTGTCCTGACATGAGTCCCCGGGTACTCAAACATTGAAGGCAATGAAAATGCCGATCATCTGACTAAGTTAGGGGCAAAAATCTCCCAACTGGCCCTCGAACCCTTTTGTCGCGTGCCTCGTTGCCTAAGACTGGGATATCTTAATTTAATAACCAACCAATAGGCAATGAATCACTGGCAGGAAATGCCAGGATTGGTACGTTCAAAGGCCCTAATATCGGGCTACTCGAACATTAAAAAATACTCCAATAGACAATTGCGTAAAAACAATATATGCGTCCATGTCTAGGACTTGAACAAATATATAACAAACCTAAGCCTGTGCATAACAAAAATGCAGATTTTACCAAACTGAAGAGGAAATGACACTAGACATGCTATGTGGCTATAGCCCACTAATGCGTATACGAAATATCTCCTTTTGATATTTTACACTCTAACCTGAGGTGATAAAAACCAACACTCCTAAGAATATCCTTTAATTCTTATCCCTGAAGGGTCTAGGTAGTAAACTCTGAAAAAAGGCGAGCACAATAGATAGTGCTATAGGTCCAAGTACCTGATAATAGCCTAAACCCCCAATTGGGGGGAAATGGGATTGTTAGTAATGTGGACTAATGAACCCATTACTAGCAATGTACCATATCAGGTTGACCTCCACGCGGTTCCCCCTGGAAACCATCGTGTTAAATTCCTGGTGAATTTGTCACGATGGGCTAACTGACCTGACCTCATGCTCATATTATCACCCTCCACTGGTGCCCCACCAGCGTAAACCGTTAGCGCAGGCGGATGCACCATTCCATTATCATATACAAAAAAAAAAAACCCCCAATTAAAAAAAAATAATAGTTGTAACGCCCAACCATAGCCTGCGCCATTAGAAACGTGAAAAATATATACAAACGCGATTTTATAAGAATCCGTATAAATATCTTATTAATTATAGATTATATCAGTATAACAATGAAATTGTAACGTTTACAAATCGACACGTGCCGGTCAACATCAGATAATCGAGTTCAGCTCGATTAATTGCCTAGAGAACTCGTTTGGAGGCGAAACACGTGTCAGAGCAACATCCACCGTGGGATCACACGCAGCAATATTAGTGAAGCCTCTCTCAATTGAATAACCTTTTGATAGAACTATTACTATTTCAGTATATTAATAAGAATTTACTGTTTTCCTTTCTACTTAACATGAAGAAATATTTTTTTCCGATCTGATCCCCCGTCCAATTAAAACGGCGGCCTGAGCCGAGGTTCAAATCTCTAGTGGTGCCCTCAGATTAAAGTCGTATCCGTCAGGCAGGAGTTGGCCTTCAGCCGCTCCATAAGTCCCTCCGCTGGTTTAGAGTGCCATCTGCGCTCGCCTCATAACGTCCGGTGAAGTTGTAAAGGCCAGCTGCGGCCAACAGCATTAGAGTAGTCCGAAAAAAAAATATTTTTTAAAGGGTGATAATGGAACGGTGCTCTTGTCTGCGCTAACGGTATACGTTGAAGAGGCACCAGTGGAGGATGATAGAATGAGTATGAGGTCAGTTAGCCCATCTATAGTGAGGAATCAGCATCATCGGAAGTAATGCGGTGTGCTGGACTGCTAGTTGCTGACGGTTTAGCACAGCGCGTTACTTCTGGTGGTTGCGAGTTCAAATTTATTAATCTGAAGATTTATAAATTTGAGAATAGTTGTAGTAGTGTATGTTTATTTCTTAATTGGTGCATTACTATAATACTCACCAAAAGCATGTAATTTTATTATTTAGCTGTTCCCGGGACTTCGTCAGTATGGAATTTTATTTTACTTTTCTAAAATAAAAGCATAAGTTACTCCTTATTACATCAGCTATCTGCTAAAAAAAAGTCGCGTCAAAATCGGTCCAGGAATTTCAGAGATTAGCCGGAACAAACAGGCAGACAAAAATTGTAAAAAATGTTATTTTGGTGTATGTACCGTATTTATATTCATATGCATGTAGTAAAAAACGTTTATTCCAATATAAACAGACACTCCAATTTTATTTATATACGATTTAGTTATCTATACGATAACTAAATCGTAGCGTTTCCTCTATTTTGTTGAACATAAGGTTATAGCTCTATGTAGCTTAAATTATCAACGCGGACGCGGCACCTGCAAGCGGCCGATACCCTGGCTCCTAACATTGAACGCTATTGCATTAACAAACTGCGGTGCACCGCCACTGTTCCATACTACTTTCACACCTGGATACATTTCTACACCTACTATTTCTAGACTACAAATGAGGTATTGGTATACCTATGAAGACTTCCACAAAGTTATTTACGTGGTTATCTAGGTAGATTTAATCTATATAATTATCTATACCCATAACATAAGCTTCAGCTAGTTTCAGTCTAGATGGCGCTGTGAATAAATCTAAAAAAAATATCCGTTAATTTTAATTTATTCTTTTTCAACTTTCTTTTTTATTATGTTTTATACGGTAACGCATATAATAGAATAGAATAGAAATCATTTATTCAAATAAACTTAATTTAAGCACTTTTGAATAGTCATAACAATTTGTTTTTTATCTACCACTTGTTCGGAAAGCTGTCTCATCACAAGAACGAGCAAGAAACTTGGGTGTTTCTCTTTTAAATATTCTTATAAGTTTACATTTACAAGTCGAAACGTGCGAATACAAACTAACAACAAGCACTAATTTTTGGGTCAAATTAAATATGCAATAAGATTAAATCAGTCGTAGTGATAAGAGCAGACCAGTCCCTACAAGCAGCACTCGTTCACTAGTATGACGGATGAGCCAGCCATCACTGCGCTCGACCATATTTTAGGGAGCCCAATGACCCGGCACACCACGCCGCCACATGTCTGGAAGTTTTAGTGAGCATGACTACTCATTACACACGACCACGTCACAGCTACATAAATTACTATATGGTAGTTACAGTATTCGCACTTTACATGAGGATGCATGCGGCAATCAATACAAAAGCCGCTACGCTATCATATATCAAGAAAGCAGTATGATTAATAAATTATAACGTTGTTCGCAAATAAACTTATTCTTGCTATATATTGCTATCATCTATAAATTCATCTATCTTATGTGACAGACTCGACCCATTGGCTTTGCGGCGAGATAGTGCATTTTCTACCGCATATATCAAGGGGAGTGTTCTGAGGAATTGTTCGGATTAATACCAGCTGCTGAGTTTCACCACCGTACCACCCGCCAGAAACTGAAATACCATCCTGATCATCTGAATGAATGGCGGTCTTCCACAGTACGGTTTTGTAGAAACTTTTTGCCTCGCACAACCACATTGTGGAATCACCTTCTAGCAATGGTATTTCCGAACCGATACGATATTGAAACCTTCAAGAAAAGAGCTTATTCCTTTTTAAAAGGCCGACAACGTACTTGCAATTCCCCTGGTGTTGCGGGTGCTCATGGGCGGCGGTAATCACTTACCATCAGGTGAGCCGCATGCTCGTTTATCTCCTGTGTTATAAAAAAAAAAAATTAACCCAATAACTTAAAATGTATCCCTCTAAAAGTATAAGCTATCTAATGTACTCACTTTTTAAAACTAAAAATATTCCGTTGCAACTTCATAGTAGTGTTTCATCGATAGAAATGATTTATGCTGTCGTCATTCGATCTTACTTGATCGCATTTTTTAAATTGAAATGATTTTATATTGTATCACAACTTCAACAGAAACAATTTCATATCGTGTCACATAATTAGCCTACTGTACATGCCCACGAATAAAAACCGTCGAAAACACTAAGTACTTACTAAACTTTAAGGCTCAAATCAACTCTCTAACTGCCAGGATTAGAAAATTAATTTATATATTTAAATCACTTAGACATATAACCAACTAACATGTTTTACGCACAGTTTACTGCACGCTAACACCATCCTTGATTTCATATGGTATTACATTGCAAAGTCTATCATCAAACCACTTGAAGTAGCTCAACGAGCAGTTTTAAAAGTTTCATCATTCAAACACATATTATATCCAACGTCTCAATTACATCTGGATTGGAATGTTCTGACTGTTAGGCAATTATATGTATTAAACACATCTATCTATCTATCTATCATCTATCAGTATCGTAAAGCCCCTTATACTAGCACCAACAAACGACGTAAAGACAACATCTGTCCTATACCCTCACCTAAATTGACCTTCACTTATAGATTCTTATATTATTTAGCTTCCACTTTATATAACAGAATAAACTCAAAGATTGATATTCATAGTCTCTCTAATTATCAGTTCAAGAGCATCGTACGCGCATATTTGCTAAACAAAACTTACGACGAAACTGAGGAACTTATTATGCCCCTAAATTTGTAATAATAGTACACCTTAAACACACATACATATACACATCCACACACACACACACACACACACACACATACACACACACATCCACACACAATAACATACACACAATTATACTCACGAACATGTACCATGCACATTTGCACCCTACAACAGCAGTATTACTATTAGCATTAGTAATATCTAGAACTTTCACCTAGGGAATGTAACTGGATGTCCTTCATGTCTAAGAACAGCAGTGACATAATGTTATGATGAGACTTAAACATTGTATTCTTATATCTTCTTTTTTAATATACTCTGTTTTTTTTTGTAATTTATATTGTCTTATAAAAAGTGTATGCGTGTATATCTGTTGATGTAATAATTTTTTTTTTATTTATTTATAAGAATTGTAATATTTTATATGTCACAATAGAACTTAATAAGTTCGATTATGTAATATTTAAAAGAATATATACTTTTTGTTTTATATCTAGGTATGAGGAAAGCAAAGAAAAATACAATACAATAGCATTTTATTTAGTTCTGTATATATATGTGTATTATACTCATATTCAGGCACATACTTATTTATTATCTTCCTTTATAAAATCTGCAGCTTTTTCACCGACCATAATAATAGGAGCATTGGTATTACCACTAGTGATTGTAGGTAAAACACTTCCATCTGCTACTCTTAGTTTATGGACACCAAACACTCTCAACCTACTGTCCACCACAGATCCCATAGAGCAAGTCCCAATGTAATGATATATGGAATTTGCCATGCACAGAGCATGACATTTCCAATACTCCTTGCCACCTGGTTCATGAGATGCACAACTAGGTGTCACTAAAAATTCTGCGTTCACCTCCTTAAAAAAAGTCGTGGTTATTACGAGATTATGGTGCTCTACATATGTGGCTAGGTTATCCAAGTCTGCGGGGTCAGAGAAATGACCAGTGTAAATTAGTGGGTAATCATAAGGATTTACGCTTCGCAACAAAATATGACCCCGGGACTTTGGATGGAGCAAAACCACTTCTACAAACATAACCTCTCTTCCTTTTGAATCTTTGTAGAAAGAGTTACAAATTTCATTTTTGTAGGTATAAGAAAATGCACAGAAATCTAAGAGACCATCGGCGTCCATTATAAAGTTAAATGTTTGATAATCTGGATACGATTGTGATGTATTCATCGCGACGTATCCAACTACTGAGGGTGAGGGGTAATCGTGAGGATTTGTTGGTACTTTGGAACTTTTCTTCTTTCCCATTGTATACGCTAAATTACTAGTTATATGATCTTGCATATTCTCACCGACAGGTAAATCTGAAATAACCTTAATTCCCAAACTCTCTAAATGTTTCTTAGGACCGATACCGGATAACATTAGCAACTGTGCAGTGTTTAAAGTTCCAGCTGATACTATGATTTCTTTGTTTGCTATAATGGTCACATTATTCTTATTTTCTTGAATCGCTTCAATGCTAACAGCATTATTATTATCATCAAAATTTATTTTAGTAACCAGAGTATTCTTTAGTACATATAAATTAGGTCTTGTTTTAATAGGAGTGAGGAATGCTGTAGCTGTGCTTTGTCGGTAACCATTAGCCATCGTCAACATCGGTTCAGTATAACCCAGGGTGTCATTTCCGTTTGTATCAATAACAATTTTATACCCAAGTTCACTAAAGGCATTCAAATATCTATGTGTTACGTTGGCATATTGTCTAGTGACTCCCATGTAACCATCGCGTCCATGAAATGCTCCGTATGGTGTTTCGAAAATGTTTGGATCTTCAAGTCGTTCGCTTTTGATGAAATATGGTAGAACATTTTCATATTTCCAGGTGTCATCTTTAGTTATGTTTGCCCAAGTATTGAAATCGTGAGGATCCCCTCGAACGTAATCCATGTAATTATTACTGCTGCAGCCACCCAGCATCTTACCTCTTGTTATATCAGCAACTGGAGGTATATGACATTGTTGTGAATATCCATCGTAGACTGACGTATAATTCCAATCTTGTGCAGAATGTTTCAAATACGTCACTAAACCAGGAAGCTGAAATATTATAACTTATGTAAAAAACTTTGGATCGTCGATGGAAGCAGTAAAGTCTACCGGTTTACTACCTAACTTACGAATATTCCAGTCTATATACCTCGCAGGTTGTAAGCTTGAGTTTGGCTGATGTAAGAAATCTTTACATCTACCTGAGATCCAAATTAATTTCAGAGACGGAAGGAGGTCTGCTACTTTCTTTTTACTTTGGGAAAATCCATCATAGATGGCTTGTCTTAAGGTTATTCGAACTGATATTTCTGGACTTTTACTGGCTAAAAATCAACAACATATCCCCACTAGTCGCTATAGAGTCGAGTCAGAGGGAATCTTATCCAATTGTGGAAACTCTTCCATGGCCAGAGCGAAGATGAAAGTTTCAACTCGTAAGCCGGTAGATTTGCTCCCTTCCATGTTGCAATCTATATGCTCTACGAAATGTAAGCATCTGAAATGTTGCCTTCACTACGAGAGTCGACAATGCGTCTGACTAATCAATTTGGTATTAGAGTTGTCAAAGTATTTTTAAAATTTAGCAATTGATCAAATAAGATGATACACTTACATGTGATGCTATTGGTGGATCACCACCAGCTTCTACTAGCAGGACTCTAGTTTTGGGATCTTCTGTGAGTCTGTTTGCGATTACACAACCCGCAGATCCTGCCCCCACCACTATGTAGTCGAATACGTCTCCATCTAAAATGAATTGGTTATTTTCATAATTAACATTTACACCAATATTATCAGATTCATCATCTCTATTATACTCGTGAATGTGAGATGATTGCTATAAAATTACTAGCGATATAAATTAAAGTATATAATTAAGTGTTGGTGGTAGAAGGGTGCAATTTTAAGAGTGATGTTTAACATAACATCATAAAATATGTCCAAATATTTAAAAAATATCTTTTTTTTATGGGCAACCTTTTCTATTTAGGGGTACATAAAGTGGATCTATTCTCAGACCTCCATAGTATAGATATAAAATTTTATAAAAATCTGTCAAACCATTTTGGACGAATATGGCAACTAATACTCACTGTGTTAGTTTTAAATTACGAGAGAATTACTCAAAAACTTACCAATTAATTAATTACCGGAAGAAATATAAATGGAAAAAATATCGAGTTATTTATAAGACTGGATCATTGTTTTTATTAAGTAATAAATAATAATCTATATCGCATTTTAATACAGAGGATAATGGTACTGTATTACTGTAAATATTCTATTGTGACTAATATTAGAAGACCGTTACATGGTTGCGGGTTCGATTCTCGCATGATACAAACATTTGTATTCATGAGTATAATTGGTTGTATCGGTCCATATGGTTTTACGTAAGTATGTTTAAAAAAACTAGCTGTACTCACGGTTTCACCTGCATCCGATTTATAGCCTATGTGTTAGTCTGATGTATTGCTGTAAAGTTTCGTCAGAATCCGTTCAGTAGTTTTTGCGAAAACAGTTAGTTCAATATTACAAACAGACACTACAATTTTATTTATATGTATAGATGTAAAGGTGTTCAAGGTAGGTGTTCATGTTTAAATTAGATGGGGCTATCCCCCATCGGTGGGCCATTTAGGCCCTCAACTTGTTTGCTATTCCAAATTAGCATCATCAAAATTCGTCCCCACACCCTGGAAACAACTTGGTCCAGGACAGTGACGTTTCAGAGAAGCTCCCTACTCCGTCTAGCGTACACTAAAATCTGCCGCGGTTTTCTCGAGATACTACACAATGGGGTTCCTCAAGACGGGTATATTAAGGCTTTTTAAGTACACACAAAACCCCTGGTGTAGGAGCTCCTGGAGCTAAAAATTTACCATTGTCACTTGGGGGTATAAAAATAGGTTACGTTAACTGTTTGCCATAAGGGCCGCATGCGAGTTTGCTAGCATCGTTGTATAAAAAAAATTACCAATTATAAACAAAAGTATTTTTATCTCCTCTCATTTGCGTTTTTTTATGCTGTGTTTCGATTTAATGATGAGATATGGCAGTAAAACTGCGGAATGGAAACACAAGGGGTGTATCAGAAACTCAGGTTATTCTTTTCGTCGGCCATCAGTTCGGAGTGCATTCAAGAACTTCTTATTTTATTACTTGGTAAGTTGTTACTTAATTCTCGTGTCACTGTGTTATAAAATGGCTTGACCGATTTTGATGAAATTATATATGTATATTAGGTAGGTCTGATAATACGTTGTTATCTAATTGTTATACCCCCAAGTGATAATAGCAACTTTTAGCTCAATAATAATAAATCAAATCAAAATGTCCGTATTCATGAAGGTCTATTACAGGATCTTATGATATGTAAAAATCTGTCGTCAGTTCGAAATGCATTTGAGCTAAAAGTTGCCATTATCACTTACCCCCAAGTGTACGTGAACCCCTACATGAATAAGGACATTTTGATTTGATTTGACTTGATATACCTACCATATGGGAGACCATACAAGTTACATAAAAAAAACAATATTCACCAGAAACGACGGCCTGTTCAGGATACAGATAGGAAGTCAGATGTAAGGTTGTGGTGATCACTTGCAATGCACCCTGGGTCCATGTTATATTACTTATAATTGCGGATGTAGCGTCCATGTGGAGTGACTGCCAAAACTTAAATTACTTAAATGAACACTTCATAAAGAACATTATGAAGCTGTGCAAACATATTATCTTATATATATATAAATATTGTGTCAGATACATGCATCAAATTGACAGTCTTGTACAAAAGTGACAACCTACAGCTTTCAATCATTAGACATAATCTTAATTATAGAAATTATTTCATAGCATAAAACAAAGTCGATGTCGCTGTCTGTCCCTATGTAGTCTGAGACTAAATAAATTAGTGCTGGTTGGTAGTTTGTATTCACAAGTTTCGACTTGTAAAATGTGAACTTACAAGGATTGCCTATACGATTGTAACCATCCCCCAATTGTAACGAACCCTATTGCTACGTTTACATTCAGCCGCTTCCCCTGCCACTCGCTCTGCCGGAAATATTGCCGGGCGACAACTGAACGAGAAGGCTGAATGTAAAAACACGCTGCCACTCGCGCTGCCAGTCCTTTGACTCGAGCACGAAAAACCGACAATCGAGGGAGCGCCGGGCAGGCGCGAGTGGCAGGGCCAATGGCATGGGAAGTGTTTCCACTCGTGTTTACACTCTCGCGTTGCTCACTTCCGTGCTCACTTCCCTGCCCACTCGGGCTGAGTCTAAATTGGGTAATAAATAAATTACAATAAATAATAAAAAAAATGAACTAAATATCAAATACTAGCTGTGCCCGCAGTTTCACTCGCAAAATTTATACCCTATATGTTATTCTAATAATTCGCTGTTTCTAAATTAGCATCGAGTAACTTAGTTTGTAATTCATACTATTTTTTTTCGAACTACTCTAATGTTGGCCGCAGCTGGCCTTTACAGCTTCACCGGACGATAGGGGGCGAGTGCAGATGGCACTCCAAACCTTCAGAAGGACTTATGGAGCGGCTGAAGGCCAACTCCCGCCTGACGGATATGACTTTAGTCTGAGGGTAGGGGTTCGAACGAGGAATTTATCTCACGGAAGGAGGCGGCGGAAAAGGAACGGGAGTGGACTCGTCCCGCTTCCCTCCGCCGCAGAAGAACCAGGCCTAGAGGTGGGGGCGTACCCAACTCCGCCCCCTTCTATCCCTCACTGGGGTCGGGGTGACTGCCTTGAGGGAGGCAGTCCCCCAATCCAAAGGCCCCGGAGGTGTGCGCGTGTACCTACACGACTCCACAATGGAGTAGGGCGAAATAGGTTGCCCTAACCGTAACGAGATGGGGCCTGCCCTACAACATCTACAGGGCGAGCCGTCGCCGTCGGAGCTGGGGTGGAAATGCACATGCGAATCCCCTGGCTCCGGCATAGGCGCTCGTAGGTACACCGTGTGGTTTTTGGTGAGTACAAATCTCACACACCGCCCCGCCCTCCCTCCGGCGGGGTGACAGTCTTTTGAAGATTTTCCACAGGTTAAAAAAAAAAGGGTTCGAACCTCGGCTCAGGCCGTCGTAATATCGATCCCCGTTTGAATTGGACGGGGGATCGATCGGAATTTATACAGGTAGCGCTACGGGATTCAGTTAGTTTACAATAACATGAAAGATAAGAGTATATTTTTGGTAATCTCTTAATGTTAGCAATAAAGGTTTTATCTATCTATATAAGAGTTTGTTAACAACTAAATCATAAGACTATTCATAATATATGTACGTATTTAATTTTAAACTTATTTTACTTAATTGTTACTGTACGCACGACCGTTTACAGATCACTCCAAGCAAATATTGCTAACAGTCAGTGTTTTTAATTTAAAAATTCAATTTAATTTTTAAAGGAATTGCGTCCAAATTAGCATGGAGATATTAACAAAGTTATATTTTAATTGTCGAATACCTATGTATTTATACTCGTATCACCTGTGTAATATGTTTAAGATTCAGATTATAATTGCAGAAGTATAACAAGTGGCATATTGGACAAAAATAAAATTACAATGAGAATGAAGTATTATTAGGCAAAGTAGAATATCATTACATTACAGGACAATACATGTGCACCCGTGCGAAGCCGGGGCGAGTGGCTAGTATTTATATATTATTATATTAGACTATGAACTTCTTCTTTTACTTATACATAGGTATTTTACACTTTAAACCGAATCCATAGTAGGTAGAACCGGTATCATCATCTTCATTTCAGCCGGGAAGACGTCCACTGCAGGACAAAGGCCTCCCCCAAAGATCTCCACCACGATCGGCCTTGCGCTGCTCGCATCCAATGCCTTCCAGCGACCTTGACCAGATCGTCGGTCCACCTTGCTGGAGGCCTTCCCACGTTGCGTCTTCCGGTCGTCACTTGGGGACTTTACTGCCCCAACGGCCAATTTGATTTGACCATACCAGAACCGGTATGGTCAAATCAAAACCTATATCTTGTACTCAAAAATAAATATGATTATATCAAACTTCTAAAACATACATTTTATATAATTATTATATCACGGGGAGTGTTCTGAGGAATTGTTCGGATTAATACCAGCTGCTGAGTTTCACCACCGTACCACCCGCTAGAAACTGTAATACCATCCTGATCATCTGGATGCCTTTTTGCCTCGCATAACCACATTGTGGAATCACCTTCCAGCAATGTTATTTCCGAACCGATACGATATTGAAACCTTCAAGAAAAGAGCTTATTCCTTTTTAAAAGGCCGACAACCTACTTGCAATTTCCCTGGTGTTGTGGCTGCTCATGGGCGGCGGCAATCACTTACCATCAGGTGAGCCGCATGCTCATTTGTCCCCTGTGTTATAAAAAAAAAAAAATTTGGATTGGATTTAATCTTTATTTCAAGCGTATAGGATAAAAATATATTGTAGTCGTTATCTCACTAGATGGCGCTGAAGTCACTGAAATCTTTAACTGGGAAACGGTTGCCATAGACGATAAGAATATATCAATATTTTTTTTATATTATCCTAAGTTATAAGAAGAAATGATATTTTATATTGTTATAAATACATTTCAGGACAGACCATTGAACTTGGCACCCATTTAGATCTCACCTCTTTTGTCGTAGAAGTCAACAATCAAGGCATATATCATAATATTAAACTCGGCTATCATTTCACATTTATGTTTTTGATGGGATATCATTACTTTTTGTACATAAATTATACGAGGTACTTATTTATAACTAAATTAATACCAAATTATTTTTGATAAATTACTGTATTTTCATATGTTTACAGGGTATAATTGTCTTTTTTTTGTGTTACTTTCTATATTTTCTTGTAACTTTTAAATGTTCGAGTGCATTGCCAATTAGTATCAGTATTAAGTATCAGGAATTTTTGGGCAAATCGGGGCGGTATAACGTCCACAGATGGTTGTACTCTACAATAGTGCTCTCGTGACCTGGATCTAAATTGTTAAGACGTACTCCATCTAAGGTTTTAACTCTGGAGAGTCCAACGTAAGCCTGCCCTTTATTAAATATAGAGGAGCCTATGTTGAGAAGAGGACTGTCAAAACTAAGGCCTTGTGATTTGTGGATAGTAATAGCATATGTTAAGCAAATACGGAATTGTTCCCTGTCAACATATACATTATTTAATATCTGAAACTTGGTATTGACTCGTTATAGTTCGTAAAGACGATTATGTAACAAATTGACTGTTATCTATTGAATTCTCAAGAAAAACAATTTGTTACCAATGAGTTCTCATTCTCGAGTTAACTATACATTCCTACTTATAACTATACTAAAATTGTTATTGATTTTTGGTTTAAACTATTGTCTATACCATACGTATTTACTAAAATAATGTAATAATAATATAACCACAAATATATAAGTATAATTTAAGAAAACCATGAATTTCGTAGCATAAATCGCAACCTTATAGGTTAGATATCCAGAGACAACCGAACATTAAGACGGCGCTCGTGCTTATGAGGATTGAGGGCGGCTGCCATTCGCTCGGACAGGTTCGCGTCAACGTTTTATCGCACCGCTCCCACACGGCGCCCTATACCGAAATGCCTATTATTTAATAAATATTTATAAAAATAATAAATTTACACTATCGATGTGCGCTAAATATTGAAACAATAATTAATACCAAATCTCAGTTAATAACATAATAAATACGAAATTCAACTATACTCTTAGTTATAAGTACGAGTATATTTTAGACAGAATCTAAATTATAGCAACTAGTGTTTACCGCTCAATAATATTTGAAGTTTGCTAGTTATCGACACTGATGTGAAGGGGTTAGTGTAAATTGGTAATGATCGACGTTTTCATACAATATTACTTACCGTCCAGTACAAGATGAACTTACTTTTGCCAGGGATCAATGTTAATTGGTGGCTATCGGCGTTTTCATAGAATTTTAGTATTGGTCCAATATAAGTTGAAATAGAATCAATTAAAGTGAAAAATTATAATGAAATGATAACATGAAATTTACCATGTTCAGATTTTTTCCTTTATATTCACCTAATTACCTATCTATGCCAAATTTGAACTTCCTAGGTCATCTGGAAGTGGGTTATAATTTTGATCTATAGTTGATCACTGACAAAAATTACGATATTTGGACGTTAATATCTAAATAACCGTTTGAGATATGTTTATGAAATTTGGAACACATATTTATCTCGCAAGCCTCAATATAGCGGTCTAGCATACCGCTTTACGGCCGATGGTCGCGGGTTCGATTCCTCGCACGGCACAAACATTTGTATTCATGAGTATGATTGTTTGGCATATGGCTAAACTATGCACGACAAAAATCTGCAGATTCTGCCAAACTGAAGAGGAAACGCCACCACACGTCCTACGGGGTTGTAGCCCATTCATGCATAAACGAAATATCTCCTTTGGAAAGTTTACACTCTTTCCAGAGGAGATAAAAACCATCGCTCCTAAGAATATCCTTCAATTCTTGTCCCTGACGGGTCTGCCTAGACGTACGCGTACGTGTACTTTGAAAAGGGCGAGCACAATAGATCTATGTAGGTCGTAGTACTACAGGTGCTACAAACATCTGACAACAGCCAAAACAACCCAATAAAAATTGTTTGTATCGGTCTGGAATCTGGATGTTTTCTATGTATATATGTATGTATTTACAAAAAAAAATCTATGTATATGTATGTATCAGTTCTCTAGTACCCATAACACAAGCTTCAGTTAGCTTAACTTGGATCTAGATGGCGCTGTGTGCATTGTCCAAAAAAAAATTCGTTAATTTTAATTTATTCTTTTTCAATTTTCTTTTTTATTATGATTTATATGGTAACGCATATATTTATAGGCTGCCAGTTACAATTTACTTTTCATATTGAATTGAAACACAAAATAATACGTAGATTTGACATATCATAAGAGTCTGTAATAGACCAACAGGAATTAAGATATTTTGAATTTAGAATTTTTGTATTTTTATGAATTCATTAAGTAATGAAATTGACTTCCTCATAATAATATAACAAAGATTGAGTACGTAGCGGTTTCTATGTTGATTGTCGCATGCCTAATCGTTGTTAATGTGTATATAGTATATATTTACAACATCATTTATTTAAAATAGCAACACGCAAGTATCTAGCTCGTTCTTCTTGTGATAAGACAGCTTTCGGAATGAGTGGTAGATTAAAAAAAATGTGATGTCTATTCAAAAGTGAAAATTCTAAAAGTGTTTAAATGTTTATGGTTGGTTCTCTCCACACTTCATCATCATCAACTCTCTACCACTCTCCATTCGATCAGCTCAAACACAAGCATAATTTAAAAATAGACTAAGATCTCATTATCTCTCTTCATTGTGCATGTTTTTATGTTTTTTCTCATTTCTTCCAATATGTAGTATATATGTAGGTTTATATATTTATCCCTTATGTATGTATATTTAGTAGTATAGTGTCTTATGTGTGCCACCTACCGATCCTATGTACATAAGTCCTCTCATCTAGGTTGTATGTAAGAGATTGCTTTTAGCGATAACACCACCGTTTGTAATTACTTTACTATTTACTGTATTATCTTATTGTTTCATCTGTGTACACAATAAAGGGTTTTATTATTATTATTATTATTTGTATGTTTCGTTTCTCTTTTTTTTATTTTATTTTTCTCAGCTTTTGCTGGTTTTCTCCACACTTACGGGCCGAAACCAAGTGCAGTATGTGTGTGTTTGTGTGTGTGTGTGTGCGCGCGCGCATCTGTGCGTTATTATTATTATTATTATTATTAGTATCGTCTCACTCTCTCAGCTTTTGCTGGTTTTTTTTCCAGTTTTATTATTATAATTTTAGGTAATACATTCAAACACGCGGGCTCAGCCTAGCATGGATGAGTTATATGATGAAGAAAGAAATTTTCTTACTATACGGCATGTGTTGAGAATGACGGCTTTTTGTAATAGTTCTATTGTAGAGGAGTAGATTTGCAACGTGTCTAGGTGTTTGATAAGACTTCTTGGTTTAATTCCTGCGGATGAAAAAACTATTGGTACTGTATGGATGGTGCGTGCTTTCCATTTATTATTATTATTATCATCTCATACTTATCCCAAAGCATACTAAATAGAGCCTTAACACATACAAAAGTTTGTTTAAATAAATATTTTTTTATTCTATAACAATTTTGACACTTTAAGCCCCGCTAGTAGTACTATATTGCACACAATCTTACTATTTTAAGCACAATCCAATAGAATATGTTGTTTGCCGGCCGTCCGTGTTGCGACCACAAATCACACGGTGTTGCCAGCCTGCAAATTTCTAAATATAGCAATATTTTCACCGCGTCGCGTCACCCCTATAAATAACAATTGTGTTGCCAGTTTACAGATTTTTACTTCTGTGTAACTTTTACTGTTGACGGTATTGATCTATTTTTTTCTTTCTGTGTGACCTACTTGTTTAATGAAAATAGTTTTAATAAGGCTGGAGCTAAGGTTTAGGTTTCAGGCTAAGGTTTAATAATACATACTGATATTATAAAGAGATAATATTTGAATTTACTGTTCTCTGAAATAGTTTAACTAAAAATTTATTTGAACGATTTATAGTTACGATTGATATTTTTAAAATTGTTGTAAGTGTATTTACTTTCATATGCATTTAGTGAAAAGCTGTTAATTTGAAATTACAACCGATTACTTCAATCTTATTTATTTGTACAGATACCAGTATTCATATGCATGTAACTATATATATATACATGTAAATTTATATATTTTGTATTAGTTGGTACTTAATTAGTTAAAACCCATTTCTGTCTTTCTCGGTTATTTCTTGTTTATTTACGTGATACGTCGTATATAGACATATACGACAATTTTAGTTATATTTGTTTTATTTTGCTGAGTTATTTCCACTTGTGCAATAAAATAATTAAATAAGAGTGAAGAAAATAGATTGAACGTGGGTGGGGAACAGGAAGTTCATCAGAATATATTTAATTAATTGTTTATTGATGAACTCGGTGGTGTAGCAGTTTAGCACGTGGCTTTAGTTTCGATAGTCGCGGGTTCGTTTTAATAATTTCTAATTACAGTTTCACTTTTTCTTCTGTCAATACCAGCTTGCGTTATAAAAATGTCTTTACTACTACAATCCCAAATGAAGGAGCCTTATCGACGTTGCGATGAAGGCAATCTTTGCCATGTTCACATTACGATCAATATATTTTGAATCCAATGTGCCAGATACTATCTTACCACCGTCTACCTCTACTCTCATCACCGATAAACTTACGTTTGTATTAATTATTTAATTAACATGTATATTATCTGCCTTTATAAAATCTGCAACCTTTTCAGCGACCATAATGATAGGAGCATTGGTATTCCCGCTTGTAATAGTCGGCAGGACACTAGCATCTGCCACTCTTAATCTCTGTACACCAAAAACCCTAAGTCTCCCATCCACCACAGATCCCATCGAACACGTCCCCGCGTAGTGATAAACTGACATTGCCAAGCACAGAGCGTGACATTTCCAATACTCCTTACTATCAGGTTCGTATATGGAGCAACTTGACGGCACCAAAAAATTTGCTTTCACCTCCTTGAAGTAATTTGTAGTTCTTACTCGATTAAAATCTTTGATATACGCGGCTAGAGTTTCCAAGTCGGCAGGATTTGATAGATGACCAGTGTAAATAAGTGGATAATCATAAGGATTCACGCTTCGCAACAAAATACGACCTCTAGATTTTGGATGAAGTAAAACGATATGAGAAAACATAACCTCTCTTCCTTTTAATTGATTATAAAAAGACGCACATATTTCGTTTTTGAAGTTGTAAGTAAATGTGCAAAGCTGTAGAATTGAATCTGCGTCCGTAATAAAACTGAGCGTTTGGTAGTCTGGGTATGATTGTGATTCATTCATTGCAACGTAGCCAACAACTTTTGCTAATGGATAATCGTGAGGATTTTTAGGTAATCTATAACTTTCCTTTTTATCCATTGCATAGACTGTAATACCAGTTATGTGGTCTTGTAAATTTTCTCCCACTGGCAAATCTGATACAACGTTGATGCCTAAACTTTCTAAATGATTTTTAGGACCAATGCCTGACAACATGAGCAACTGTGCAGAATTTATAGTTCCAGCTGATACTATGATCTCTTTGTTTGCCATTATTATTATCTTTTTATCATTTTCTTTAATTGCTTCAATACTAATAGCATTATCGTATTTATCAAAATTTATTTTAGTAACCAGAGTATTTTTTAGGACATATAAATTAGGCCTAGTTTTAATTGGAGAGAGGAATGCTGTAGCTGTACTTTGTCGATAACCATCAGCCATCGTCAGCATTGGTTCACTATAGCCAAGGGTATAATCACCATTTGTGTCAAATACGATATTATGTCCAAGCTCACTAAACGCTTTTAAATACTTATGTGTTACGTTAGCGTACTGCCTTGTAACACTCAAGTAACCATTACGTCCATGAAATTGTGCATATGGTGTTTTAAAAATATTTGGATCTTCAAGTCTTTCACTTTTGATAAAATATGGAAGAACGTTCTCATATTTCCAAGTATCATCTTTAGTTATGTTTGCCCACGTATTATAATCATGAGGATTGCCTCGAACGTAATCCATATAGTTTATACTGCTACAGCCACCCAGCATTTTCCCTCTGGTTATATCAGCAACAGGTGGCACGTGACATTGTTGTGAATAGCCATCGTAAGCTGATGTATAATTCCAATCTTCCGCAGAATGTTTTAAATACGACATTAAGCCAGGAAGCTGAAATTAATAAAGATTTAAACAAATTATTTGCATAATCAGTTGCAGTAGTTGAAATTCTAATGATAATGTATATTACAACAGATTCCATTGGTGGATCACCACCAGCTTCTACGAGCAGGACTCTTGTTCTTGGATCTTCTGTGAGTCTGTTTGCGATCACACAACCCGCAGATCCTGCTCCCACCACTATGTAGTCGAATACGTCTCCATCTGGAATTAATTCCAATACAGTAGTAAGTATTAAATGTTGTTTTATATCTACAATTTATGAGCGTCAGTGGTCTAGTGATTTAGTACAACGCCTTACTTCCGATGATCGCGTGTTCCTCCTCGTCACCGTACGAATAGTTGTATTCATGAATATAATTGTTTATATTGATCTGGGTCTTGAGTATGTGCTTATAAAAAAATATTTAAGTATTTATATCAGTTGCTCTACTTTGCTACGGACTAAATAGAGCTGTGTCTGAATTGACCTGGATTATTCGTATTATTCCATGATTGCAAGATTTGAAGTATATTGATCGTTTTAAAGTATATTCAGTTTAAGCTGTTAATATCTTGCTTCGTCTGCTTGTTGTTCATCCCATGTGTAAAATATACTACAAAGACAGTATGTATATTTTATTGCCATTCATGATGACCGTTTTATGACTCCACACCCATTTAATTTAGATAGATAGATAAAATTTTTTATTCACGTTAAAGACACACACACACACAAGACACTGTAATAATAAGAACAAAAATAAAAACAGATATACACAATATTAGTCAAGTTAAACAAAATACAATACACAACAAATATACAGATAAAATAAAATGCAATACAGTTAACAAAAAACGGTATGTGTAACGTAGTGTGTGTGCATAGCCCATACGTAAAAAGGCAGCACCTCAGTGTATTGTTTGCAGCATCCAAGCAGCAAACCACTGATATTCAGGCACTGCCCAGAGACGCGAGGACGCAATTAATTTCACTGTCACATCTTATTCATCAAACAAACATAGCTTGCAGACTACTTTAGGCGTATTATTATCTGTGAGGACGACGACTGTTAGGCACAACGTCAACGAAACAAGGTCAATGCCTTGTTTGAATAATGTTTTGTGTTGTCAACAAAATTTTAATATATGCAAATGTTTAACTATTGTTTGATAGCATTATCAGTTATGTTTTCAAATAATTGTATAAAACTCCCATTTATGGGCCAACAGATCGTATGTCAAATTGTGTATTTTATGCTTTAAGATTTGTTATATTATTGAGATGCAATTTTAGGATCATTTCATTTATTGGAAATCATCCTGTAAATTCTCTGCATAATCTGCACCCTACGGCCAAAATACAATTTTAAATCTTTCTAGTGGGCTGTTGTAGGAACTGGTCTGCTCTTATCACTACGACTGATTTAATCTTATTGTGTTTTTATATTTGACCCTAATAAATTAGTGCTGGTTGGTAGTTTGTATTCACACGTTTCGATTTTTTTTTAGTGCAATGTGATTATCCGGTTTTAATGGAGAGAGAAATGACAACAAAACATGAGTGCATGGTTTAGTATTCAATAATGGTACAGACATTACAACCTTGATGGTATAATGGTTTACAGCTTCGTTTTCGGTTAGTTATGGGTTTGATTCCAAATTTCCATTTGTACGCATGAGAATGAATGTTTCGTCCTGCGTCATACTTGTTTATCTCTATTATTAAAGTTTAATAATAAAAGAATATATTGAACTATGTCCATATCATTCATTATTGCCTTGCCTGTAATACCGTCATTTGGGATCAGCACAGTGTGTTATCTTCCATTGATGATAGGCATCAATGGAAGATAACACACTCGATAACACACACGCCCATCATATCCGAGCATATTTTCCTTTTATACATGTCATCTTTCATATAATCTTTTTTTCAGTCGTCCTCTCCGTTCCATCCATCCATCTATCTACATTCATATTATATGAAGTATGTCCTTCAGTTGTCTAATATTTATTAGTTTAATTTGGATTTGGAATGCGTTGTATAAAATGAGCAAATTTATAAATATTGTTGCAAACTCTTTGCAGATTTTTATATATTTTTGTACCAATTTTTATATATATTCTTTACAGCTTGTAGTATTTATAGTTAGTATTTGTAGTTGTGATATTTATTATTATCACTTTTGTATTGTTAGAGTTCGTATCTTCAATACAAGTACCATTTTCTATTCATTGTTTAATTAATATCACATATACAGTATATTTATTCTAACGCCCACATTTTGGTCCTTCTACGACAAAAAACCAACCTAATATTATACAAATATTATTAAACATACTTCCACATTTGTAATATTTAAAAAGATATCCGACTAACCAGAGACTAGAGCTTGTTGTGGATACAGATATGAAGTCAGATGTAGAGTTGTGGCCAGGACTTGTAAAGCACTTTGGACCCTTTTTATACTATACAGCTCTGATGATAGAACGTCCATAATGTATATGTGTTCAGACGTTAATTCACAATAACAGTTGATTATAGAATACTTTTAGAAGCCTCCAAAAGTAACGCAATAGCTATAAACGTCAACCTGTATAAATATTTGTTAAAGAGCACCGTCGCATTTAATTAACCTTCTTTGTACGATAAAAAATATTTATTCACATTTACTCTGAAATTGTTTCATTATTAAAAAAATAACAATTCTTCAGACGGCATTTTTCCGTGTAACGAAATGACGCCAGTAATTAATATCGCTAAAGGTGATCTTATTTCAGTTGTTTATTACAAAAATGAACTTCAAATAGGTACATTTTAAATTGAATGTAATTTTGAAAGAAATAGCAATAAAATTCAAATATTTGTATCCAATTTTCTCCCATCAATGTATTGTTATAAAATTAAATATAATTAAACAGCATTACATGAGTTACTTGCTTGTCAGCCACTTGTTCAAACATGCAATACGAGCGCCCAGTCCGCGACTTTTTATCTAGGTATGAGGTAAGTAAATAAAAATACAATATAATAGCATTGTCTTATATGCTATATTCCTATCCAGATATACATATTTATTTATTATCTTCCTTTATAAAATCTGCAGCTTTTTCACCGACCATAATAATAGGAGCATTGGTATTACCACTAGTGATTGTAGGTAAAACACTACCATCTGCTACTCTTAGTTTGTGCACACCAAGCACTCTCAGCCTACTATCTACCACAGATCCCATAGAGCAAGTCCCAATATAATGATATATGGAATTTGCCATGCATAGAGCATGACATCTCCAATATTCCTTGCTACCTGGTTCGTAAGACGCACATCCTGTTGTAATTAAAAATTTTGCATTCACCTCCTTAAATAAACTCGTGGTTACTATACGATTATGGTGTTCTATATATGCAGCTAGGTTATCCAAGTCTGCGGGATCAGAAAAATGGCCCGTATAAATTAATGGGTAATCATAGGGATTTACGCTTCGCAACAAAATACGTCCCCGGGACTTTGGATGAAGCAAAACCGTTTCTACAAACATAACCTCTCTTCCTTTTGCATTTTCGTAGAAAGAGTTACAGATTTCATTTTTATAGGTATAGGAAAATCCACAGAAACTTAAGAGATCATCAGCGTCTGTTATAAAGTTGAATGTTTGATAGTCAGGATACGATTGTGATGTATTCGTCGCGACGTAGCCAACTACTGAGGGTGAGGGGTAATTGTGAGGATTTGTTGGTACTTTGGAACTTTTCTTCTTTCCCATTGCATACGCTAAATTACTAGTTATATGATCTTGCATATTTTCACCCACAGGCAAATCTGAAATAACCTTAATTCCTAAACTCTCTAAATGATTCTTAGGACCGATACCGGATAACATTAGCAACTGTGCAGTGTTTATAGTTCCAGCTGATACTATGATTTCTTTTCTTGCAGTAATCGTTACATGTTTCTTATTTTCTTGAATTGCTCGAATACTGATGGCATTATTATTTTCATCAAAGTTTACTTTAGTAACTAGAGTATTCTTTAGTACATATAAATTAGGTCTGGTCCTAATAGGAGTGAGGAATGCTGTAGCTGTGCTTTGTCGGTAACCATCAGCCATCGTTAACATTGGTTCAGTATAACCCAACGTATCATTCCCATTTGTATCAAAAACAATTTTATACCCAAGTTCACTAAAGGCTTTCAAATATCTATGTGTTACGTTGGCATATTGTCTCGTGACTCCCATGTAACCATCGTGTCCGTGAAATACTCCATATGGTGTTTTGAAAATATTTGGATCTTCAAGTCGTTCACTTTTGATGAAATATGGAAGAACGTTTTCATATTTCCAGGTGTCATCTTTAGTTATCTTTGCCCAAGTATTGAAATCGTGAGGGTCTCCTCGAACGTAATCCATGTAATTATTACTGCTGCAGCCACCCAGCATCTTACCTCTTGTTATATCAGCAACTGGAGGTATATGACATTGTTGTGAATATCCATCGTAGACTGACGTATAATTCCAATCTTCTGTGGAATGTTTTAAATATGCCATTAAGCCAGGAAGCTGAAATATTATAACTTGCATTAAAAAAATGTCGTTGAAAGCAGTAAGATCTAGTGGTTTACTGCCAGACTTACGAATATTCCAGACCATATACCTAGAAGGTTTCTTTTTTTTAAAATACGATAATGGAATGGTGCTTCTGCCTGTGCTAATGCTTTACGTTGGCGCGGCACCAGTGGACGATGATGAGATGAGCATGGAGTCAGGTCAGTTAACCCATCATGATAAATTTATCATGAGTTTTTACCATGGTTTCCAGGGAGAACGAAACTGACATGGAGGACAAATTGATTCTATTGTTAGCAATGTTTGGTACATTGCTAGCAATTGAATCATTAGACCACATTACTAACAATACCCATACCCCGAAGATTAAAAATTATAATTTGACAGTCAATCCGAGATCCAAAATCTCAGAGATGGATGTAGGTTCGCTTCCTCCTTTTTTTGGGGTAAGAAACTCCATCATAGAGATTGGCTTGTCTGAAGGTTTGGAGCGTATATTTTCAGATTCTTATAGCCGATAAGAAGTCGATCTATTTTTTTTTATTACGTATGTATTTACGACAGTTGTTTAGTACCCATAATACAGGCTTTAGCTAGCTTAATTTGGGTTTAGGCGCTGTGAATTGTCCTGAGATTATTATTATGTATCTGCGAGATGTATGTACATTAAGTGTTGCCCTCACTACGACAGTCCACAGTCAGTCAGTCAGTCAGGTTAGTGTTAAAAGTATTTTGTTTTAATTTTCACAATTGATTTCATCAAATACGAAGGAAACCTTACATGTGAAGCTATTGGTGGATCACCACCAGCTTCAACGAGCAGGACTCTTGTTCTGGGATCTTCTGTAAGTCTGTTTGCGATCACACAACCCGCAGATCCTGCTCCCACCACTATGTAGTCGAATACGTCTCCATCTGGAATGAAACAGTTATTTTCGGAATTAAAATCTACACCATTAATATCAGATTCATTATCTCTTTTATATTAATATATAATATTGTTTATTACATTGACAAATTATTACAAAATAAACCCCGCTGAACGTTGTTTAGCCATATAAATTAAGGTATCTATAAAAATGACGAATTTTTCATACAACTTTGCATCTACCCTTCAACCCCTTTTTCGCATTAGAAAAGTAGACTATGTACTTTCTCAAGATGAAGAACTTTAGACTATCTATGTACCAAATTTCATTTTTAAATTGGTTCAGTAGTTTTGGCGTGAAAGCGAGACAGACAGATTTACTGTCGTATTTATAATAGGTATTGTAAGGATTGTTAACTGACCCTGTATGAACTCTATCTTTTGTTTTATTATTGTACCTTGTTTATGTGCCCTTTAACGGCTATAAAAGTTTTATATATATATCTAGTAACAAACCTTGGCCTATGCATAAAATCTGTTGATTTCGCCAAACTGAAGAGAAAACGCCACCACACATCCTATGTGGTCATACTCATGCATAAACGAAATATCTCCATTGGAAAGTTTACATTCTTTCCTGAGGAGATAAAAAGCATCGCTCCTAAGAATATCCTTAAATTCTTGTCACTCACGGGTATAAGTCTAATTTTGAAAAGGCGAGCAATAGATCTATGTAGGTCGCAGTGCTACAGGTCCATATACCTGATAATAGTTCAAACAACCCAATAAAAAAATCTAGTTGATACGCCGTACCATATGTATCACGACAGATTTGTATACTAGCCATATTCAAATTAAAAAATCATTTATTAATGTAGGACATTTTAGCCGCTTATGAACGTCATTTTTTTACATTCTAATTTTAATTTTTTCCCTACCGTCCAGTTCGGTATATAGATCCAATTGAGAGGAACTGGCAAGAAACTCAATTAATTTTTTTTTAAAGCCAGTTTATATACAATGTATATTTATATAGGTGTCTATGTCTAACATTAAATGAAAATTCATTCAAGTAATCGTTTAGTGAGTAATAGGCTTTGCTCAGTAAATATGATTTAACAGATGTTTTGAATTTATTTAAGGGTTAGTTACAAAGTTACATATCCTTTGGTATCTTATTGTAAATTTTTATACCTATTCCCATAAAAGACCTATTAACTTTTTCTAAACGATACTTGGGGATAGCAAGTTTGTCTTTAAATCTAGTATTAATATTATGAATATTGCTGTTTTTTTTAAATAAGTCAAGATTTTTATGAACATATAGGATATTTGAATATATGAATTGAGAAGCAACGGTGAGAATATTTGCCTCTTTGAATTTCTCTCTTAACGACTCACAACTCTTCATATAGTAGAGTACATATATTTCCTTTTTGTATACTAGATGATCCAAATAGGAAAACCTTTCAAGTAATTATATATCCGATGAAATATAAAAGGAAAAATCAACATCTCAGACGGTTGGGATTCCGGGGCGGCTCATTCCCGGGAAAGATGCAGAAAGCGGTGCTCTTAGATTCTGCCCGCATTGTACGCCGGTTTCTCTCCCTGGAGCCCTGAACCCCGGCCGACTGTGCTTCTGCCGGGGGTATGTTGCCATCTCCTCTCCTTAAGAGGGGAGATGAGAATTTTTGGAAAAAAAAAAAATAATCAATACCGCATTATAATGTAGAGAAAGAAAGAAAGAAAGAAAAACATTTATTGTCAACCATTTTTACATATACATATATACATACATACATACACACTTAGAACAATTACAATAATAATAATAATTTATCTTATTTCTAAATATGGTTGACAACATGACTGACACTCAGCATATGCCGTGACAGCTAACTGTCACGGCGCTGGTATTCTGTGCCTGCCATTAGTGACAACACGTACAGCTCGATGTCAGTTTTTTGACCTTTGACATCTGTCAGATGTCATTATTGTTACTGACAGCAAAATTTTTACACGTGTTCGAGACCTGCCACGTACACAATTACAATTTTA